TCCCTTTTAGGACTTCCTGATGTCTGTTGGTTCCATCTTTTTTTTTTTTTTTTGAGTTAGGGGTTTCACTCTGTTACCTAGACTGGAGGGCAGTGCCACAATCACGGCTCACTGTAGCCTTAAACTCCTGGGCTCAAGAGATCCTTCTTAGCCTCCTGAGTGATACCATCCCACCCAGTTCATTTAAAACTTTTTTTTGGTGTGTGTGTGTGTGTGTGTGGAGACAATCTCGCTATGTTGCCCAGGCTGGTCTCGAACTCCTGGGCTTAAGTGATCCTCCTGCCTTGGTCTCCCAAAGTTCTGAGATTACAAGTGTGAGCCACCACACCTAGCCTGTTCCCATCTTTAAGCCCATGTGAACTCAGTGTTTAGCTCCTACTTACAAGGGGGAACATGCAGTATTTGGTTTTGCTTCCATGTTAGTTCACTTAGAGTCTTTGTTTAAAATTGAACCATCAGATGGCATTAACTTCCTAGATATCATGATGATGAGAAAAGTCACGATATAAATATCTTGGTAAATGTAGAGGCTACTTCCCCCGCTCAACACTACAACTTATTATTTCTTAAGTTTAAAGATGATTCAGATACTCTTATACTTTAACTCATTAATTCTCCTCTTCTCCTCTTTTGTATTACATTCAATTATCTTTCCACAATTACTCTGAAACTTTATACCTTCCACTAAGTCATGTTGCTCTAATTGCCTTTTCATTAATGCCTGGTATTATGAGCAGTATTTATTTAGAGAACAAGGAGTCATAACTTTCAGTATTAAATCAAGCTTCAGGTATTTACATTTAAATTCAGCAAAAAATTTATTGAGTACCTACCATGTGCCAAATACTTGTCCAGGTATTGAGGATGCTACCATGAGCAAAGCAAAACACTCAAAAACCCCGACTCTCGTGGAACTTACATTCCAATGAAGGAAAAGAAATGATAAAGCAAATGAGATGCATTGTGTGCTAAATGGTGATTACTTCAATGGTGAAAAACAAAGCAGAACTAGGGAAAGGCAATGCCAAGGATGTAAGATTCAATTCTAAAAAGGCTTGGTATAGATGCCTCCCAGATGTGACACTTGTACACCGACCTCAAGAGGGTGAAGAGGCAGGACAGGCAGGTAGATCCCTGAAGTAGTGTGACAGAGGGAACACTCAGAGGTGGGAGGGCATCTGTAAACTTGAAGAAAAGCACAGAGCCCAGCCGGCTGGGAGAGCGGAGGGGAGAGAGACAGGAGGAGCAGACATTCAGGGTAGAGCAGTAACAGGGCCAGATCGGGCAGAGTGTTACTGGTCACTGCAAGGACTTTGGTTTTACCCAGTTTACAATGCAAAAACAATTGGAGGGTTTTGAGCACAGGAGTTATTTTATATGTGTTTTGTAAAAGATTTCTGTGGCTGCTATATTGGAAACAGACTGTTGCAGGAGGGGGAGTATGGAAAGAACAGGAGGCTGTTGCTATTGTTCAGATACAAGTTGATATGGCTTCATACAGAATTATAGGATGAGAGGTAATGAATTCTGAATAAGTTTTGAAGAAAAAGTCACCAGGTTGCTGGTGGATTTGATGAGAGTGAGAGAAGTAAAGGAATCAAAAAATGACTCCCAGATTTTTGGTGTTAGCAACAAATAAGGAAGAAGCTTGAAGAGGAGCAGACGTGCCTGGGGTCAGAAGCTTAGCTTTGTAATTGCCGGACTGGAGATAGTTGTTAGACACTCAAGCGGTGATATCAAGTAATGAGTGAGATCTAGGAATCTGGAGTTCAGAGAAGAGTCATAGAGTGGAGCATAGCTTTGTGGTATAGCAAGCATGAAAGTGGATGGAACCACGATGGCATAGCAAGCATGAAAGTGGATGGAGCCACGATGGGAGCAAGTAGGAACAAAGAAGATGCCCAAGGAGTGAGTTCTGAGGCTCTCCAGAACTATGGTATGAGGTTGATGAGGAAAAATCCACTAAGGATACCAAGAAGGAGCATTCAATGAGGTTAGAAGAAAAGAAGGAATGTGGCGTCCCGGAAGTAGAGTGTGGTGTCCCGGAAGGACTGTGAAAGTGTCTTTCAAGGCAATGGAGTGATCTCTGCTGAGTTGCGCACTGCTGTTGGGTCAGGTTAGGATGAAGATTGAAAACTGCTCACTGGATTGAACAATTTGGTGGTCACAGTGTCTTGATAAAAGCAGTTTTGGTGGACCATTGGGGGCAAAAGCTGACCATATTGTTCAAGTAAGAACAGAAGCAGATAATGGGCTAGATAGTTTTGTTTTAACATTCCAGATTTGCAAGTGGTTTTTTCATTCACAGTCCCTCTCATTTTTATTATGAAACAAACAAATTCTATTCCCGAGCTTGCATTTACAAAACACATTTAAAAAAATCATTATCCATGACCCAAAGTAGAAAATAAGGTGGACAACAAAAAACCATAGAATCGTAAACTAGTTTACATAGATCATCTAATTCATACAAGTATTTTCAGATTTGGGACTCAGTTTAGACCATACACATTAAAGAAAGCTATCAGCCATTGAAGGAATAGTATCACTCTCCATGACCAACTTTAAATATACTCACCAGCCACCAGCCAACTCCCAGAATAGCCTCTACTTTCTAAATGAAGGCAGACATAGATTGCTACAATGATAGGTTGCAAAAGAAGACAGAAGATCACAGTGGCAGTTTTACTACTGTTGCTTTACCCTGAGTAGTCAAATTTATTGGAAGGTGAGTCAATTATCTTCCAAACTATTGTAGAAGCTAAGTTATTCTATTATTATCTGCATTATCTCTACTGTTACCATACAAACTTCAAATAAGTAAAAACAACTTGCCTGCCACTTAGGTATAATAATGATTTGTTTTCAGTGGCAGGATGTGTTTAAATAATAATTTAACAAGCATAAAGTTAGAGACCTGGCATTTCCTGTGCCGTCTGAACATCAAATAGATTTGAAATGATGATTCGCCATAGTCATTTCTTTTTTTCTGCAACAGGCATATTTGTTAATTTGCTAATTTAGTAGAGTGTGGAACACGTTTCTATTGCCCATCCTTTACTATCTTAAAATTCAACACTCATTCCCTTAACTGTGTAAAGCAGTTTAAACTGATCCTCAAGAGCTGTCTTGTCTACTTCTATGTTCTTGTTTCAGCACTCTAAAACTCTTGGGCTTACATTGCTTTCATAGACAATTATGTTTGGCACATGACCAAAAATGGATGTCTCTTTTTCCAAACTTTATAAGACTGTCTTAGCTTGTTCAGGTAACTAGAATAATCTCTATGATCTATGCAGCTACTTGTCACAGTTCTCTCAAAATTTGCCAAAATATAAACAAACCTTTAGAAACAAGGTGAAGTGAGATAAACAGGTCTATCTCTCTGCCAACTATTTTTGGCCTTGAAGAACTCATAGTATTATCAGATAAGAAAAAGGGAAAGGTCAGTACCAAATGGGATGAGCAATCTTCATAATTTCCAAATTTGAACTTTCTTACCATAGAAAAAAATACATAAAAGGATGCCTGTCATTATGAAAAATATATACAGAAAAGGGAATATTAAGGACTTCATGTAATATCTACCTAGAAGTATAGAAAGCCAGCATATTTACAGCATAGACCCTTCATTGTTTTACCAATATAAAAAAAAAGTTTGCCTATAAAGTAATGAGGTTCAGTTAGCAAGTTACTCTGATTATCCCGTGGTCACCAAATATAACTAATGTGGCTATAAACGATAAAAACAAATCAATCTTCATTCAAGGAATAACTACATAGTATCTTTTTGAAAGAGCTCATAGCCTATTGAGGGAGATAAAATCATAAGTATATGATTATAATGAAATGTATTTAATGTATTAACAGATGTGGTGCATCCCAAACAGAACAAGATAAAACTAAGAAAACTCTGAAAATAGTGTTTTAATAAAAGGAAAAATGTGCAACAAAAGCATACGCTTTAAAAAGGCTTGAAATGCAACAATATTAGATTATAGCGGCTCATTTTATAAGCAAAATATTGAAGGTTAATATTTTTGATATTTTGAAATTGATCATCTTTGATCTCTCACTTTATAATCCCATGAAGAAAACTATTGTTTAAAACATATCAGCATTATAAAAAATTGAAGTGATAAAAATGTTGAATTGGATTCCTGTTCTTACTTGGCTAGCATCAAATTCCCTTGACTATTAGTATGTTTGAATTTTCTTCAGGCAGTATGTTTAAAGACTTGGAATTCATGTGAACTACAAGTTCTTAAACTAACAAATTCTTCTGTACACCATGCTGTTATTTCAGTATTGGCAGGTTTCAATGTGTTTTGCTGAAAAAACATATATTATATAATTATATACATATCAAGAAATATAAAACTAGGCTTTGAAATAAAAAGCAATTCATAGGATTCAACTAGTCATTCAAAATAACCTTGACTTTGTGGGAAAATGTCATGTAAGCCTCATTCGCCTTTCTTCTCTGCATCATCAGATTAACATGGATCTGCCCCACTTACATGCTTCCTTCACTAAAATTTGGAAACTCTTTACAGATTTATGAACTCCTGAGAGATTATAAAGATTCTCTACCTTGTAGAGAGTGTAGAAAATAATACGTTTTATGGTCACAATATGCTTTATGAAAATAAATACTATCTCAGAACACTTTGCAGACTATGAATATGCTCTTTGTCCTTTTATGTATCACATATCTGATGAAATTCCTCTTTCTCAGCTCCCATAACTTTTAGGCACAATGTTTCTGACATCTGGAGAAAATTTCTGGATATCAAATTCAGATAGCTTGTGGCCATCAACTGGTCAAAACTGCCACCTACTGGTCAATTCTCAAATCTATTTTTTTGATCATCTGAGCATTGCCTTTCCCTTCCTTCAAAACAGTAAAGATCATGTACAGTGATCAGACTTAAGCATACATTCTTTTAACAAAAATTCACCATCTCTCGGGTAAGCAAAAAATACCAAATTGCACAAACCTGCCAATAAAATCATCCCTTTTCCCAGCGTCTTTGTCCCATGCAGTGATATCAATGATTCCTCCCCTTTCTTCATAAAGGTGAAAATCAAACTGTTCCCTCCACTGAGGATTCAAAGTTTTTGGCATAATCTGTAAAACCAAAAAGTCATTACTGTCTAATTGATAGCAGGTAGCAGGTTTAAAAACATTCAATTTGAGACACGAAATCAAACTTAAGGTACTACTATAGTATCTAGAAGAATATGTTGTGTGCTATTTGGACAAAAGTTTCTAGAAATAATGGAAATGTGTCATGAGTGCTCTAGCTATCTTTACCACACAATACTTGAATGGACCTCACAGGTGTGTTCTGAAAATCAAAAGGTACACTTTGATGATCTTTTTTTTTTTTTTTTGAGTTGGAATCTCACTCTGTCGCCCAGACTGGAGTGCAGTGGCCGCTCCCGGCCACCGCAGCCTCGACCTGCTGGGCTCTGGCAATCCTTCCGCCTCAGCCTTCCGAGTAGCCAGAATTACAGGCATGTGCTACCACGCCCGGCTGATTTTTTGATTTATTGTAGAGATGAGGTTGATGATCTTAAATAACAGATAACAAATACCAATGATATAGAAAAGACAAATCGTATATAAATGAAATAGTTCATCCAGATACCAGCATTTATTTTGCATAATCATAGTCAATGCATGAAGATATAACCCAGTCAGTCATAAAAGGAAGATGAGCAGTCTCAGAGTGTCTTTTTTTCTTACTCTCCATGCACATTGGAATCCTGAGCTGAGAACATGAAAAGCAGACAATAAAGTTCTGTGGGAGCAGGAGGAAAAAGCAAATAGCTTTCAGGTGACCGGGTGAACTTTTATCTTAGCATTCTAGCACTGATGCACGATTTCCATTTTATATATGGAGAAACTAAGATCTAGAGTTGAAGTGATTCACCTAAAGTCAGTATGTTTTCATATCTAGAGTCTAACTCAGAGTCATTGATCAGAGCTTCAGGACTCTTCCCCCAAAACCATATGCCAAAGGTGTTTATGAATTAATAAATAAATAAATAAATATGTAAGTATATGTGTATATACATTTTTATATGGATATATTTTCTTCATGTTGCATGTAAAACATATGTATATATGTATGATATATGTATGTATAGACTGGGGAGTGCCAAAAAGCATATACACATTTTAAGAGATGTTATCCAGTATCACTTTTAGATTGCCATAATCAGAAGTGTCTGGATGTTGATGGTGACTACTCTGAGCATGTCTTGTAATTGCAGAAGTCAGATGTGACTTGTATTCATCTTTTGTTATTAGTAGATATTGAGTATTACAAGTTTAATACAGTTTTTCCTTTTTACTATTTTTCTTTTTTTTTTTTTTAAGCAGGATTTATTGAGAGGACAGAAAAGCTCCCACAGAGGGAGGGAACCCAGGGGGGTTGCCCCAGTTTTTTCCTTTCTTAAAACGTGCATACATTTTTTTGGGAAACCTTGTATATATATATATAATATATTCTTCGTGTTGCAGGTACAAGAAAAATATCTTATCTGAAGTGCAATTTTGTACTTTCAAGTATTCAGACAAGACACCTGGCAGAATCAATGAACAAAGTGACCTATATTGATGTGTTTTAAAATTCCATTTACCATTGGGTTAAGCAACATGCATATTTGTTTCTCTATTCTTTCTTTTTAGCAGGAGGGCATGCCGTGGCCTTTTCTCTTTTTAATGTATGACAGATCTTCAGATGTAAAGAGTTTGGAAGCAATGAAGTATGTTATGTGTAAAGGTAATGCAAATGAATCACAATTTTTAAAGTTCATAATCTGAAATTAATCAGCAATAAATCATGGAAAGAAAGAGCAAAGAGAGACACATGTCCATAGCTGGGTTTCATATTTCATACCTAAAGAGCAGAACTATAAAAATAAGTAATGTTTTAAGCCTACTAGAACATGGAGACGATGTTAATTGAGAAAGGACAAGATAGAAGTGGTCATAGGTTCCTATTTTTGGAATCAGTAGCTACTTTAAAATATGTTATTAAGCCCTATGGCAGAAAAAAAATATGGCACTGAATGAAAGCTATGATCATTCAAACGTCCTATAATCAGACTCAGATGAACTCATGGTATTTTGGGGAGTGGTGTGTCTTACTTATCTGCATAAACAGACTAACTTTTCAGTTTCTTTTTTAGGATTGCCTTCCTTCTGGTCAGAGATGATGCCTTCTTTTTCCATGTGGACACTCCACAGGCAATCAGACTGCTAGCAGGATTGACTGTCTGCTATTGAATCAGCTCTGTGATATATCTAACTACTTTAAGTACTAATTAAAACTTCCTGGGCTGGAAGGGACCTAGGCAGGCTGTCATCAAAAATCCATAAGAATGATGATACTACAGTGGATAAATTCCCATTAAAATGGAATGTGAACTTTAATGCCAGATGGATATGGTCAGTTGTTCTAAGCTGCCTATGTCCTAAGCTGCCTAAGCAATAAAAACTGATCAGTAAAGAGGTCATAGTTGGATACAATACAGATAAGATATGTGTGCAAAATATAGCTAGAACTACTATGGCTTTTACAAATTGTTATTACTTCTATCACTAATATATTATTATTACTATTTAATATAGCATGTTGTTATTACGAATACAATTGATACCACACAATATACTTACTACTGCTCTTCCTTCTGCTATTTTCTTTTTTTCTTTTTTTTTTTTGAGTTGAAGTCTCACTCTGTCACCCAGACTGGAGTGTAGTGGCCACTTCCAGCCACTGCAGCCTTGACCTGCTGGGCTCCAGCAATCCTTCTGCCTCAGCCTTCCAAGTAGCAGGAACTACAGGCGCGCGCTACCACACCCGGCTAAGTTTTTTAAAATTTATTGTAGAGAGAGGGCTCGCCAAGTTGCCCAGGCAGGTCTCGAACCCGCAGGCTCAGGCAATCCACTCACCTCAGCCTCCCAAAGCGCAGGATTACAGGCTGAGCCACCGAGCCCGGCTCCTTCTGTTATTTTCATTTGCTGAGCATTTATTATGGGTAAGGCAGTATTTTAAGCCCTTTGCATACACAGCATATATTAATTTAATCCCCTCAATAACTTTGTTAGGTAGGCATTATTTTAATTCTCATTTTTACAGATGGGAAGATTGAGGTATTAAGAGACAAAGTAACAAGTCGTAATAAATGTTAATGCTGGCAGTCTGCATTGGTACAAGTCAGGATGAATAAAATGTCTCAGAGTAATGTACAAACACTTTCATGGCATGTAAAATAATGTTATTTGTAGTACTGATATTAGTGCTAGTTGTAAAAATGAGAATAGCCTCACTCTTTGAGTACTTTATGTACCAAGCATCAATTAATTATGTTTTTCTCTGAGTGGTTGTTTATGTTGCTTTAAACCTCACAGCTATGTCAAGAGATAGTTCCAACCATTATTCCTGTGTTATGGATGAAGAAACTGAGAGAGAGAAGTTAAATCGTTTACCAAAGTCCACTTAGCACAGAAAGTAAAACAAACAAACAAACAGTATAGTTGTTGGTCTTGTTTTCTGAAATGATGTTCAAGGAAGTTCTGTTAAGAATTTTAAACATTATCTAGTGTGCTCACTCCCAAAGCATGGCTTTTAACCAACCAATGCCTTCCAAATATTGACAGGAACACGACAGAGATATGGTTACCTTGCTCTTGTACTTCTGATGCCCAAGCCGGAACTTCACATAGGGGTCACTCAACCCATTGGAATCCATGGCCTTGAGGTCTCGTCCTTCAATCAAGGTGATACTGACTATTCCTCTCCAAAGATGGGATTTTCTGTGTAGGTCTGACAGACGTAAACTTTGGGTCTGAAACTTTTGGCAAATGAAAACTGAGTTAGATCATTTTATTTTAAACCCAAATATCTCATTTGGCTTTATCTTTTCCCTTTTTTGTTATAATTTTTCAAAAAATAATAAAATGGATGGTTATAATTTTTAAAAATAAAAATAATTTATGGAGTATTAATTATTTATCAATTATAAATTAATAAATTATGACATTATCATCTCATGACAAATTTGTTTATTGTGTAAAAGAGGTGAGTGCTCAAAATACATTCTAGCTTTTCAACTTTTAAAATTACAAGATGTAGATACTTCAAGAATATCAGAGAATATTTGTATGTCAGACATATCTTTTTTAAAAACATGTATAAAATAAATATAGATATCAAAGAGCTCATCCACACTGTGATATTTAATTTTTAACTATTTAGCATTTTTGAAGATCTCTTTTTTTGTGTTACGAAGGGATGTTACAGGTGGTTTTTAGCTATAAGATTTGTTGCAAGTTCTATTCAGATAATTTTAAAATTTCTTTCTTGCCACATTAGGAGATAGTTGAGTTTCAGCTCAATAAAGAGCTATTTAAGATACGACAGAACAGAAAACAAAATTAATATGCCTACCTCAGATGTCTTGCTTCTGCCTAAAACTTGTATCACAAATATTTAAAATTATTTTTAAAGTTACATATGTGATTTATATTTGCAAGCATGTTCCTGGATTTATTTCACAGTATTTGAACAGATTCTTTAATGATTTTTATCATGCCCCATTCTAAGCCACAATATTTAAGCCAGTGAACCAAACCAGATTTTTCTTAAAATTAGCAAGTCTACTAAAAATGGCCTTATAGTCTCTTTGAACCAAGTAGTATATAAAACAAGCCAGATGAAGTAGCTGTTAAAACATTTTCAATCTGGATTCAGCATCAAGCAGTACTAAAAACATAGTTTCTTTAATATTGTCAAACAAGCTTTTTTCCACTTACAGTCATTTTATGAAGAAATTCAACATTCCTCTCAACCACAAAGTATTCTTCTAAATTATGGGTTATATTTATGTTCTCCTTAATCCCTTCCATATTAATGTTATAAATTTATATTGCCTGTTTTGTATAACTCCCTCTCCAACAATGACTTCCCTTTTTCCTGTCATCATAATGCCATAGCTATTTTTACCTGTCATCATCAAAGGTTGTGCATTTCAGAGTGCTTTCATTAGGAAAATGAAAAACACATTCTTCAAAAGACAATACTGCTAATATTTGAACATTTCCATGAAAATCTTCCTAAATCACATTGCATGTTTCCCTGCCTTGTTGAACAGCAAGATTTGAACATGGCATGGTGGCTCTGCTGTATTAACATCAGCACAGGACTTGGCCCACACTCCTCATCTCTGTGAGCCTGCAGTTCAGATGTGTTCTGAAGTGCAACAGAGAGTTCATGGAGCACCGGCAAGTTCCGCAGAACTCCATGCCCACTTCATCCAGAGCCCATGTGCTCCCATCTGTTCCGTATATTGGGTTTCCACATTGGATTTCATTTGAACAAAGGGCTTCTCAGATTAAAATAATCTTTTAGGATTGGTTGCACCCAAAGATGGGCACGGCCTTTGTTTTAGTTTTAAGATTTCATGCTACTTATTATTGTATATAATGCAGCCATGCATTTTGATATGTGATTGATTGGTTTTAATCCCTCCTGCTGGTGTTGATTCTGCCTCTATGAGCAGAGTCTAGAGAATCAGATTCTAAACTTTGGATCAGAGACTTTTGTTAAAAAATGTGAATGGCAAAGGAGGAAAGAAGGCAAGAACATTGTGGCAAGTAAGAAATAATTATTTTAGCAAAGACCAAGGAGCTAATAGCTGCTCATTTATATAAATTTCAGAATTTAAAAGTGTGAATGTATATATTATATCATTTGGTTTTCACCAAAACCTTATGAGGTAGGAAGACAAGTCCTCTTAGTCCTGTTTTACTGATGGTGAATTTGAGACTCATAGTGGTTACACTCATAAATAGGATAGAATCCCAATATTTCTAACAATTATTCTTGAGCTGCTTTGTTCGGAGCAAAGATTCTCTCATGGGTTTAGAGGTAATCATGATTTATATATAATGTTGCCAAAGGACACTCTCCGGTTAAGTGCATTGATTATGTTTGAAATGATATTCCAGTATAGATTTTCCAACATAGCTAACTTACAAATCCACCTTTTACTATTCTATTACATGATCACATGTATTTATAATTACAATACTTCAGCTTGATGAAGAATGTACTTAATGTCGTTTTCTATGTACTCTCTAGAAGTAGTCAAATAATAGCTGGGTACAATCTAGGTTACTCAGTGTCTTCAATTAGCCATGTTGTTTCTTTAATAGTACCATGTCTCTTGAAAACCTTGCTTGCTTGTTCCTCCTCTTTTTAAATTTTTTTTTTCTTTCAGTTTTTAGAAACAGGATCTTGCTCTGTTGCCCAGGCTGGAGTGCAGTGGTAATCAAAACTCATTGTAGCCTCTAACTCCTGGGTTCAATTGATCCTCCTTACCTCAGTCTCCCAAGTAGCTAGGACTACTGGGGTATTTTTTTTTGAGAAGCCCATGTAGAAAAAGGTATATTCCATAAACAATGATGATTTCGCTTGCCAGAGACAGTTATTTATTACTTTTATCTATTTTAAAAGTCAATCTGGCTCTCCATCACTGAGGGAGTAGTGATGGTAGTAGATCAGTGACATCAATGTCACCTGGTAACTTGTTAGAAATTCAAATTCTTAGACCCAGTTCAGACCATGGCATCAGAAACTCTGGTAGACATACCCAGCATGGTGGCTTAACCAGCCCTCCAGGTGATTATGATACACACTCAAGTGTGAGAAGTCTTGCTTGAAAGTTCTAAGATGCTTCTACATGTTCTCACTCATATGCTAGAGTTAAATGGCCCCAAAGATGGAAATAATAGACACTGGGGACACCAATAAGGAGGGAGGTGGGAAGGGGAATCAGGGTTCAGAAACTACCCATGGGGTACAATGTTCACTATCTGTGGAATGAGTCACTTGAGACCCAATCCCCACCACTATACAGTATGTCCATGTAACAAACATGTCTGTGTATCCCCTGCATCTAAAATAAAACTGGAGAAAAAATAGTTATATGGTGCTTGTGCACTGGCATTCCCCTATTATTAATTAATGTATTTGTAAACATTGTCCAGTCTGTGTCATGGATATTATTTATGCTATTTGAGGTCTTTCTTTGGAACCGCTTCTAAATTTTCTGATCAAGAAAGTAGACTGATTTAGATATTTGGAGCATTTAAAGAGAGAACTAGGAGTCTACTGAACAATTATGAAAAGTTGGTTTAACTTATTTCCTTCCTTTATTCATTTTTTATCATAGAATGTATCCGAATACTACATATTTATTGAAATATTGATGGTCAATCAAACAAAATCATTTCTTGAGCACTGGAAGGGCAAGGAGTATTAAGTGAATCTGAGATAATGCCCAATAAAATTTTAGCATTACATCTGGTACTTGGTTATCTAAGATAATGTTCTCAACTAGGTCCTTATTGAATGAGAACTTCTATATGGGAGAGAGGAGAAAGGAGGAAAGAAAAAAGAAAACCAATCCAGCTTCAAAGCAAAGAAGCAAGCCTGCAAAAAGAAGGGATAATCTTTGAACCTGTAGTTCTCAAATTTTAGCAATGTGTTGAAATTGCTGGACCTCATCTTCTTAGATGTGATTCAGTTCTCATGGAGTAGAGTTGCGTCTGTGTTTCAACATCAACATGTACCCCATGTATTTCTCACACATCAGAGGAATATTCATCCAAGTTCAGAATTAATACAGAATATCAAGATACCAGGTAAGAACACAAATTTCAAAGTCTGAAGCAATTAGACCATATATGTGTCTTTAATAAGATCTTAGAACTAATAAGTTGACAATTTAGAGAGAATATTAGTTTATGTATATTAGTCCTTGAAAAAGAATTTAAGATTGCATTTTATTATCATGTATACAGAATAGGTTAGGATAGGGAATGGGTTTTCAGTACAGTAAGTTGGCCCTCCAAGTTCACAGCTCATGCAAGCCCAGAAAAAATAAAATGAACCAAATGTTGAACTTACTTGTGCATTTTGGCAATAAAGACTCTGAAGCTCTGCTCTGCAGAAGCCCAGGACAGGAAGAGCTGGCCTGCTGCATGTCTGGATGGAAATGAACGGTCAGAGCTGGACAGAAAAGCTTTGCGCCATCTCAACCCCTCATTTTGATCAGCATTGTCTTCAAAAGACATTGTTGGAGAAAACCAGTATTTGCCTCTCAAGTCACTGTCAGAAAATGACTCCTACCATGATGAAGAGAAATGCCAAAGCAACTCTTTAGTTTCCAACCACTGTTTTCTTTAGTAGAATGAAACTTCATGATCAAGAAAATAGAGCCCAGAGATGATTTTGTGATAGAGCCTTGTGTAAGTGGTTTCAGGTTTTTGTTAATAGGTGTATCCGAGAAATAAAACACAGCAAGAGAAATCATGGAAAGAATAATTTTTCTAAGTCTGCTTCTTCAAAATGTCAAAAAAGTGATACGGCTCTAGAAGAATAGATATTACATGGACAGGCAATAACTATGATCATAGTAACCTTGCATCCCACATACAAATCTTTTGCCATGATTAAAGATGTATCTCTAAACTAACAGGGACATTTTGTCCCACATGACATTTCTCTTTGCTACTAAAAAAAGCAACCCAAATATCCCTTCCCTACTAAGATCAAGAGCAGCAAGAGATGGATTAAGAAATATATATATGAACAAGAAATCCTAGAGGCAAATTATCGTGGTGGAGCTGCAAGTCTGTGTTAATGGTCTTCTACAGCAGCTAGAGAAAGTTTTTGAATGATAGCATTATGAGAGTCATCCGTTTTAATAACATCAACAGGGAGGATTAGCTTAGAACAGTCTGAAAGATGTTAGATCACACAGAATGAAGAAAACATTCACTAAGCAGATATTATGTGCCAGAGTTTACAGACTCCAATGTTTTTTTTACAACAGACATGTCATTTTTAAGGTAAAGAAATTGAGACAAAGAAGAGATAAATACCTCACTCCAAGCCAAATGGCTAGAGACTGGCGAGGCTGAGATTTAAATCTGGAGTTACTGATACCTAATCCATGATTTTCTCCCCATCTCTCTTTTTTGTGGCAGAGCCAAAGAAGTCCATGGTATACACAAAGAATTAATTGGTACAGGATATTTCCAAATGCTCTGCCTTTTCTTTGGCTATAGATTATTGAGAAAGGCTAATCAGGGGCTTAGAGGAAATAAAAATAGGCAGGCATTAATAACCCGACATGTCATTCAGTAAAGCATATGACAGGTAACTATATCCTATAATAAATTATAGTCTAAAGTTTATTAGTAAACATTCGTGATGAAATTGTAGAATCTAGCATATACACTGAGTACCCTTCTATACTCCAATCCTAGTTAATAAAGTTGAATTCCATTCCTTGAAAAATGGGATCACTGATAATAGAGCATATCCTATTATTCTGGATCCTGATTTAAACATAGATCAAAATCAAAAAATCTATTTAGACTTAACATGTGACTAAGGGAACACAGTTATACCAATCCTCTCCCTGATACGTAGAAATAATCCCTGGCTTTTGTTATCCTGGATTTTATTATCTATGTACAACCTAATCCTTCCAAATGAGACCCAGACACTAGAAATGGAGTGAAAGACATTGCTTGCGTGTTTACAATAAGCCATGTGTAGAGTCAGTTCTTTCCTCTATTTTCAGCACAGTGGTGCATGTGCTTTTATTTAATCAAATGATCCCCGAGACACTACAAAGAAGAGATAACGACAACTTGGAAGGACTGTTTTGTGCTGCAAAGACTAGAGTGTGGTGCAATTAGCTCGATCCCAGGCACGGGCATCTTCTATCTTTTCCTTTTCCCGCCGAGTTTATTCCAGTGACTTGCACCTGGATGATGAAGCCCAACAAGCACATTTGTTCTGCCGTTCATCCATCCTCTCAAGGCAGGATTGCTTTTACAGAAAACTCTCCCGCCTGCTTTGTCCCAGCTAGTTTGAAGTGTCTCATCTAATAATAAGACTTTGATCCCTTTTTTCTTAGACAACAATTTACTGGCACCATAATCCTTAGCGAAATTCTCCTGTTTTCTATCCTTAAATTTTCTTTCTTATTTCTATTGCTTCTTTTGATACGATTATGGTGCCAGGAAATTATTTATGTTTACTTAAGATCTTTTAACTGTCCTCACTAACTTTATTTTTCTTTTTAAAGTTTTTTATTTTACATATGTGGGGTAATTGTGGACAAAGGTTCTTCAGCTTTTACTATGTTTGTTAAAAATACATACTACTGAAAATCATCTATATTGTAATCTTGTTTGTTTGCTAAAATAATCAACACATTTCTACCAACAATCTAGGAAAGAAATAATAGTCCTGAGTTTGACTTACAGAGACTTTTTTTCTAAGACTTTTAATTAAATGCTGCACATATTTTTTTTGAGTCTTGTTTTCATACCTAAGAGAAAAAATAGTTCCTGAACTTTTCTTGGGTGTATGCTATATATATGGTTGAGCAGTTCAGCTTATAAGCACTTCACCCAGGATCACAGGACCATATTCTTATTTTACAAAGTCAATAACTCTTCTCCTTAGTCTTCAATCTTCCTTCAGCCGCAATTTTGCTTGACCTGACCATAAGGCAGTGATCGGACATAACTTCCGATTGTTCTGTATTTTTCTATGTACTCTTCTTTGCCCAGAATGATCCTTTTCTTCATTTTTATGTGAGGTATCTTGGCATGTCTCAGTCTTTTCCATTTTAAAAATATTAAAATGTACTTTAATTCACTACAATGTTCTCATAAGATGGTGTGCTCAATTAATTTTGTTATCAGAATCTAGATATCCACTCAATGGAAATAACTAGAAAGAAAGTTAAGCTGTACTGTACTGGTATCACTCTTTAATGTGAAGTTAAAGTCTTTAATAGCTTTGACTTAATTAGAGCAATCTGATTTGATTTAACATAATTTTTATTATTTTCATAAGAAACACGGTAACTGCCATATCCACTGCTTAATGTTTTTTTGTCTTAAGATACAGTGTTTCCATGAATTATCAAAATTATGCTTTTGGAAAATTAGAATTTTATTGTATACTTCAGTCTTTTTTCCCATTATTTTGCTCTCATAAAAATTGAGATATAGCAAGTAGGCACTGACATTCCAGCTGATATAGAATGTAGTTTTTTGCATTCAGTGTAAATCAACTGCTATCTCTTAGACACATGTATTGGTCCTTATAAATCCTGACAAGAATTTCTTTCAAATCACATGTATACTCTTCATGCAAGATTTTATATGAGCTCTTTAGACTTTTTGCATATCAGAAAATGTCCATGGATAACCTCCTTACATATACGTCTTCTCTAAAAGTTTACCAGGGTAACAATAATGCTTGGGTAAGGAGCAACGGGTTCACTTATCAGAGTGACCTTGAATGTGACTGTGTGAGATAATACTCATCCACAGTAGACTTGGTCACTGATTTCCTGGTTTTGTGAATGGCTCACCAAAGACAGTAGCCTTGTGGCTCTCAAACACATCCATCCATTGGTGGCTTATGGAGTTGCTGAAGAAGAGGGTCACATAATGCAAGCGGAATTTGAAAGGGTGTTAAGAGAGACAGAGTAATGAGCAGCTTTCCTTATACATGGCATTTCTATTCATCATCACCTCAAAGAGGAACTCTTTTGCTTTAAGTTCTTCAAAATATTTCTTTTTGTTGTTGTTGTTGAGTTGGGGTTTCATCTGTCACCCAAGCTGGAGTGCTGTGGCATGATCACAGCTCATTGCAGTCTAGAATTCCTAGACTCAAGTGAACCTCCCACCTCAGCCTCCCAAGTAGCTAGGATTACAGGTACATACCACCAAGGCTGGTTAATTTTTAACTTTTATAGAGACTAGCTTGCTATGTTGCCTAGGACGAAAACATTGAATTCTGTGGCATTCAGAGAGACAAAGAATTATTGGCCCTTACATACCACCTAAGTACCTCAGGGCAATGACATCAATTCTATGAGCCTTAGCTTCCTCCTTGGTGAAACAGATGACCCCTAAGGGTCTTGCCTTTATGACTCTTCACTTATCAATTGTTCATTGTCATATATCCAGAAAAGACATTACTACGATACCTTCAATACAAGAATCACTTTTTAAAAAAACTTGTATATTTGTTATTCTCAAATCAGACAATTCAAGAGATTTAGAAAGGTTATTAAAGAATATTTAAGAATGAATACAACCAAATGGAAAGTACTGCTAAGTAGAAAACCAATTTGGAAGTAGCAAAATGAAAAGCTGTCGAGAGAGACATTTGACAGAGAAAGCCTTGGAAAAGTATTAATTATGGAGTTGCTTCTGGAGGCAAATTATCATTCACAATGACTAGTCCACACATTTGCTGCATGTAGAACAAACTCAACACAGAAACACCCCCCCCAAATTCTGCTCTCAAAGAAGTGAACCATGTGGATTCACTATATTTGTGTGTCTTAAGAAAACAGTAAAAACATTTCTGGATAGAGCCATTTTCCATTTAGGGTCATGAAACCATTGAAGAGAAGTCATCCTGTGTGTCCCTGAATAATGCATAAACATCTAAGACAATTATTCTTTCAGAAAAGTACAGAATAACTTCAGTGAGGGCAGCCATACAGTACACTGAAAGTAAATTAAAAGGCTATAATTATTAAAATAAGCTCACAGCAATAAAGTCTGCCAAAAAAAAAAAAAACCAGAAAGTGTGTGTGTTGGAGCCGGTGGGGCTGAATAGATGTGGTTTATACTCACTCACAGGTCAATATGTAACTTAATCTGGTACCTGTCAATGTGCTTAAGAGACACTACAACAATTCTTAAAATTCTAAAGGGAAAAGGCAGTTCTCAATCATGAGCAGTTTGAGAGCCAATAAAGGAAACTGGCAAAGTCCTAAGAGAGTAGCATTTTCATCACAAATCTATGACTACATAATCATATACCAAGTGTGAATTTTCAAAGGAAGAGGAACATTCTTAAAGATAAAGTAGTATGTTAGTAAAAATTAGCAATAATGTATGCTGTGAATGATGTGGAATTATAGCAGAGAAAAAATGGATGACAGAGCTCATTATGCTTAAATCATCAAAGAGTAAATTAAATCACAATGGCATTTAAAACACATTATATGAGGAATTTTCATATTTTCTTTATTTAAATAAAAAGCACAGTTGCTGTTTTTTAAATCATAGGATGCCTTTTCAAAGAAAGATCATTGATTATCTAGTGTATATATCTAGTACAGATCACTGTAAAAGAAGTACATTTTTCTAAAACAGAAATGGAGCAGAAAATATTCTTATTTTACAAGAGAGGAATAAAGAGCCTAAATGAAATTTCTAGATGGCATCATCACATTCTGGAAGGTTCTTGAATTTCTAGCTATTCAGAATTTCTCATTAAGACCTGATTTCAAAGAAATATGTTAAATATAGGAAGTTCTTAATTTTTACAATGAAGAAATAAAAGAGTCAATTGCTAGATGACTTAGAAAGAAGTTAATAAAGAAGGCAAATGAATACACCTATCTGTGAATCTATTTTAAAAAGTGAATTTCTCAGTTCCCGTTTAACTTTCAAAATTACTAACCAGACCAAAAATCAAGATTATTAATATAAAGAATTTAAACTTTACCCTCCAAAAGAAAGACTTCACAGAGAAATAAGATCCGACCACTTCATTTTCTGAGAGTTCCTAAAAACAAACAAATATTTAACTAAATTTTGAGATGTTTTTGAGAATATTTAATTAGTATTATAAATCAAAACAAATAAAATCAAAGAAAACAAAAAAGCAAAAAAAAAATTCCAAAGATATTTGAAATATTTAAAGACTATAGGTTTTTCTTGAATAAAATACAATTTTTTCCTATTTATCTTTGACACCATAGTAATAAAATTTAGAGATGATTATTTGTGTAATTTTTTGAGTCCACTTACCTTTTTATTCTAAGTGTTTGTTAATATATCTCAGAGTCTGATATTTCATTATAGAAAGTAGAACTGTTCAAGCATAGTTTAAGATTTTGAAATAAAGCAGATAATATCTGTTCCTTTTAACAAAAATATATATACTATGTAGTATATATATTATATATAGTCAGATATATATTATATATAGTATATAGTCGGATCTTATATATATGATTATATAGTATACTATATAGTATACAGAATACTATAAAAAATACTATATATATATTTTTTTTTTCTTTTTGAGTTGGAGTCTCAGTCTGTCACCCAGACTGGAGTGCAGTGGCCACTCCTGGCCACCACAGCCTCCACCTGCTGGGCTCCGGCGATCCTTCCACCTCAGCCTCCCAAGTAGTTGGAATGACAGGTGTGCGCTACCACACCGGCTAATTTTTTGATTTATTGTAGAGATGAGGTCCCACCAAGTTGCCCAGGCGGGTCTCGAACCCTTGGGCTCAGGCAATCCACTCACCTCAGCCTTCCAAGGCACGGGATTACAGGCTGAGCCACCGAGCCCGGCAATACTATATATTATAGTATAGTTTTATAGTATATAAACTATATATAGTACTACAAATACTAAACTATACTATAATATAATTAACTTAGCTAACTTAAGCTTCTCCAAATTAATTGTCAAGGAAATAAATACTGAGAGAATTGGCTATTGGGTGAGAAACAAAGCAAAGAATTCAGAGTATTATATTACTTGATCCTTAGAACTTTATAAAACAAAACCAGTTCAACTTTAGGAAAGAAAAAACTATTTACCTATTTTTAATCAGAACATCTAAATTGCATGCTTCCTTTAAAATTTTGCATTCTGTGTCTAGGTGTCAGTTATGAATAAGTTATGGGAAAGTATCAGTCTTTATGGTGAAGAGGAAGTAGTTTTGCAACTTTTTAGATTATTCAACAATTTTATGTTAGCAACTAAGATTTTGGGGGTGCGAATTTTAACGATCAATATTTAGGACTTAGCTTTCCCAGTTAAACTTTAAGAAGCAAATATATTAGCCACATTTGGATCCACAGACAACCCTAGGTTATGCTTTTCTTGCCATGTTTAATTACTTCTGCCACTCAGCAACTAAAATTTATATTTCATTTGGTAACTCATACTCTCACGTAAATTTAGGCCTTTATTCCAAATGAAACAATTTAATTTTCTTGTGGACCCCTGTGCCATTTAATATTCTGCATGTGTATGAAATTTATAATGGACCAGACAAGTCCTTCCTTTCACTAGAATTTCTAATGATAATAACAATAACAGCAACAACAATAATAGAACACCTGGCATTATGATGATGAGTCTTAAACAAAAGTGCTGATTTTATTAAGAAGAGTAAGAAAAACAGCATAAACTATTCATGAATTCCAGAGAAGATTTGTCTTAAGTCATAATTATAGATATTTAGTTACACTTCAGTCTTCATCAAGACAAGAGGCTGATAAGTGAGGAAGAATAACATTTAAAAAGTATTAAAATTATAAAGCAACAGCAAAAGGAAATAGGACAAAAAAACAAAGACATCAAATTAATAAAGGAAAATTATTGAAATTATTCTGAATGATGAATTGTTGAACTATTTCTACCAAGATTTCTAATTTGTGAAAGTAGTAAGATCTATTGGGAATGTCTTATCTATTTCTATTTTTGCCTTCAAAAGTCTAACACATACTAAAAAAATTTATTCTCAAAGATAAAAAATCTGACTGCGAATTTAAAAATTAACCAACTTTTAAACTAAAAAAAAATTTAGAAGAAAAACTTTTTTTTTCTCTCAAGGAAACAAAACTACAGGACAGTTAATTTTTTTCTAACAAATGAATATAATGCTATTTTCAGTCTTCTATGTAAAATAAATCATAGAAATCTTTAAAGACTTTTTATCAGCTAAAATAAGATTAGCTAGTAAGCTTTCATTAAAAGTGAGATTTTATTTTATTTTTTTAGTCAGGTTCTCTGTTGCTCAGGCTGGAGTACAGTGGTATAGTCATATCTCACTGTGACCACCTACTACTGGTCTCAAGCGATCCTTCTGCTTCAGTCCCAAGTAGCTGGGACACAGGTGTGTGCCACCATGCCCGGCTATTTTTTTTTGTATTTTTTATAGAGATGTTGCCCAGGTTGGTCTCGAACTTCCGGGCTCAAGCAATCCTCCTGTCTTGGTTTCCCAAATTGTTGGATTATAGGTGCTAGCCACCATGCCCACTGTAAGTGATATTTTAAAATTAGTCTTAATGTGTACAGAGATTTAAACCTAATACCTACTATTATAATTTGGCAATTCTTCACACTGGAAACATTCATAAAAGATTTGAAATTGTGAAACCTGAGATGCAAATGTAAGAGTCAAGGCAGCTACCATTCCTGATTACATAAGCCTGCTTTTATTACAGCAGTTTCCTTTAAGCGATTGAAAAATAAATACACAGCTGGGCTCGGTGACTCAGCCTGTAATCCCGCGCTTTGGGAGGCTGAGGTGAGTGGATTGTCTGAACCCGCGGGTTTGAGACCAGCCTGGGCAACTTGGCAAGACCTCATCTCTACAATAAATCAAAAAATTAGCCGGGCATGGTAGCGCGCGCCTGTAGTTCCAGTTACCTGGAAGGCTGAGGTGGAAGGATCGACAGAGCCCAGCAGGTCGAGGCTGCAGTGGACAGGAGCGGCCACTGCACTCCAGTCTGGGTGACAGAGTGAGACTCCAACTCAAATAAATAAATAAATAAATAAATACACATATAATTTGTATGAAGTTTCCTGGTCAGACTTCATTCACTGTTCATCAAAACCATGACTCTTGGATGCTTTCATCCTGTCAATAATGGATGACTCATGATATTAACTAAGCCTATCAATCATTATGTCAACCAGGGCTTTGGAAGCAGGGGCCTCACAAAAGTATGTTTTCCTTGTGGACATTTAGGGCACTTAAAAACCAGTAAATTCCCCAGTTGCATCCAATTTAATACCTATCCGTCCATCTGTCCGTCTGTCCATCCATCCATCCATCCCTCCGTCCATTTATCTTGCTGAATTAAAAGACCATGTAATCTGCCAACCAGCCTTTAGTTCTATTATCCTGGAACTCAGTTACATTACTTCTTTCCTTTTGATCAGCCCAGGGACCTTGGGAAACAGGTCGGCTTATTTGGTAACACACACCAGCGATGTGAAGGCCAATCAGTCATCACACAATAAACATAGATCTGGAACACAAGAATTGTGGAATCCATCCTCTGCTTGACATTACATATTTTCCTTTCACTTTGTGCCAACTCATCTAGATTTGCTCCAGAAGAACCCACAACATTAAAAATATTTTATGCCTTTAGGAAAATATTGTTAAAACAGTAAGAAAAAAATAACTCAACATAAAATTTAATTATGGCTCCATGTATTTTGTGGGATAATCAAATATTCACTGACATTATAATATTTCTGCTTTAAATAAACTTACTACAAATTTCACGATTTTGATTAATTAGAGCCAAAATATGTTCCTTAATAATAAAAATGCTCATTGCTGTTCACCATATGTTCATGGTTACATTTTGAAATCTCAGAAGTCTTGATTACGAGGTTGACTATAGCATTTCCAAGCAATACAGATTTTGGAGTATAAACAATAGCAAGTTTAAAACTTTAAAAAATAATTTTAAGTTTCCTTCAAAAATATTAAACTTATTCTTTTCAAAGACATCCGTGAAAACTACAAATGTGACACTAGAAAGTAGAAAATAACTATTTTTTAGAAAATGACTAGAAAAGTCATTTTGATAATTCAGAGTTGAGACAGTCTATGACCAAAAGTATTTTCATTTTTTGGAACTTTCAAAAAATCACCTATTTATTATCAGGATATAAAGTTTTTGTCGAAAGGATCTAATAATTGTTAAATAATGGTTTTTTTTTTCATTGTGTCTAACTGACTATGTGCGCTACTCAGAGAAGTGTTAATCTGTTTTTCCCTGTTACTTAAATTAAAGCACTTAGAAGTTTTCGTTGATGCATTTTTAATGTGTCATCCAAGGTGTCAGGTTTAACTACTACACCCTGCTGACTTACAGAGTTGAAAGTGTTCTCTAGTTTAAATTAATGATATTCTTGACAAAAGTCTTATTAAAAATTGCTTCATTCAACCAATGAATACAGTGTTTTATAGCTCATTAAAATTATGCCATGATTATGATAAAATCTTTATTAAAAAGATGTATTACTAAAAAAAGATACAAGCCATCAAGTAACAGAAGATATAATGAGATCTCATCATAGTTGTCTATATTATATTATTAAAAGGATGAACGTTCCTTAAAGAAAGCAATTCTAAACTGTTATTGTTGAAGATATGAATTGCAACATGTATATTTTTATATTATCACAATAGCATTCCTCATATAATTGAAGTAATTTATTGAAGCACACAGTTTATAATTATCTCACGCTTACCCAGTAATAAACTAATTATTCTAAGTTAAAACATAGACATACACAAAGTGGAGTGTAAAACCATAGCTGCTTATTGTGTGATAGAGTCAATATTATATTCAATTTTTGATTTGATCCCATAAAATTTACTCACAAAATACTCATAAATCTCCTCTTTTGAACTCAAGAAACTTTCTTGATGAATAATTTAGCCTTAGAATAAATTATCAGTGATGAGCTTCTTCTAAAGAATAAAATATTGCAAGAACTCAAACCATTACCATTTCTCTGCCAAAACACATTTTGTCACATTAAGTATAACTCTTTGACCTGGATAATTCTTCTGCTGCCCAAGTTTAGGGAGACCTTGGTCTCTTTCTTCTTCAAATAACATTCTTCTATAACAGCTGAGTGTGGGGCAGAATTTAAAATGAGCATAATGGAAAGTGTACTTGTGGAAAGCCAGAATGATGTTTCAAAGGACGGTACCATCCCTAGGAGAGGCAAAACTGTGGAATTTATCACTATTTACTAGCTTACATACCATTAAATATAGCATATATTTTATACATTCTTGCTTTTCAGAGACAAGTTGAGGTACATTTTTTCCTCTATATGTTATCAGGTGATAATCATTTACTCTAAATAATATATAAGTTGGTCCTGAACAGTAATTACAATTTCCCTGTCCTCAAGCTGGTCACTCTTCTCGTGATTGCAATAGTAAATACAACCCCATATTCTGTGAGCACCATAAGTAGCAAAATTTCCATTGAAAGAATCTATTATTTAAAAAGACCAAAAAGAAGAATAAAAAAACAACAAAAAGAAAGAACCTATTATTGGTAGAGGTATGGAAACAATAATATGGAAAGAAATCTCATCACAGAACGTCAAGATGATGAAATTGATGAGCAGATGTTTAAGTAATGGAAAATTCCATGAGCTAATTGACCTTGTATATAGGAGAGGCATATTAAAAACATAACAAAGTCAATTGAAGCTTTCTTCCTCTGTAGTAATATGACTTCTGAAGGAAACCAAATAAAGCAAGAAAAACTCCACACTGGAGAGAATTTCTACCAACCCAACATTGTCTGCTATCTTTTAAGTGTTTGCTATAAAGTTTATAATTCTTAGATTTTATATTCACCATTGGTGCTCAAAGACAGGCTGTGTGACCAAACCCTACCACAACAATGCAGGGAACCTCATTCTGTAAATCAAGATTCTAAAGAAGAAAATGGTCTGTGTTTATATGAAAAATTACTTTTGACTTTGAGCATAGTTATAGCATATTGAAATCCCCATATGTCAATATAATGCAAATAAACTTACACCCTCTTTCCGAAGATGAAAGAGGAAAAAACCCTTACTCAGACAAAAATCTCTAAGAAGAAGATAGAAACAATTAGAAAACAAGAACATAGCAAAACTTAGAAAACTACATAGCATAGTTGCTTATCTCTTAGTTTTCTAGGAAGCACAGTTTACTGGAGGAAAGGATTCAGGGAGCAGCATCAACTTAGCAATGTGTATGAAGGATGGTGGGTTAGGTAGTAATTGAAATTTCAAACTTTCCTTAGATTGTAAATTTATCACTGAGCTCTTGTAACACTAATATGGATGAATATGGCAAATTTTTCAGGGCACAGTGAAAATCTGAATGAATTAGCAGGTGTTCAGTATGTTCTCATAGAAAAAAATCAAATGAGGGAATCGATTTTACTTCACTTGGCATTCAATATTCCCATTAACTTTTTTAAAATTGAAAATCCCTTAGGCTAAAACCCAAAAGCTATATTAACACATGTGCTAAATATAATCTGCCATGTACTCAAATGAGTGCTGAGTTAGAGGAATCCTGTATCTTTAGTGGAAGCTTGAAAAATGTACCAGTTTAAATGTTCAAATAGGTTATTAACAATAACCTATTAAAGGCTCGGTGGCTCAGCCTGTAATCCCGCGCCTTTGGGAGGCTGAGGTGAGTGGATTGCCTGAGCCCACGGGTTCGAGACCCGCCTGGGCAGCGAGACCTCACCTCTACAATAAATCAAAAAATTAGCCGGGCGTGGTAGCGCATGCCTGTAATTCCGGCTACTCGGAAGGCTGAGGTGGAAGGATCACCAGAGCCTGGCAGGTGGAGGCTGCGGTGGCCGGCAGCGGCCACTGCACTCCAGTCTGGGCGACAGAGTGAGACTCCAACTCAAAAAATAAAAAACATAAAAAATAAAAAATAATAAATGTAAACTCCAAGAAGTTTAGATATAAAAATAGTGGATAATAGATGTTTATTATTTATTTTTTAATTTTTATAGACTGAGGAAAATACATGGATATATTTTTACTTAATTTATCATTAAAATTAAATGTAAATATAAGTAAATGTATTTTTAAAGAAGAATATTTTTATTTTTCCTTTTATTCTACAATGAAATGTATTATTTCCACTAATTAACACTAAATGCCATGTAACATCCTGTTCTAGCATTATATGTTAAATACATCTGGAAGAGAGAATATTGCTACATATTAATAGATTGCTATGGTTTTTTACACAGATATATCATCATATAGACACAATGAAGAAAGTCAAATTATATGCGTTTAAAAATACATGCACTTTTAATATAACACTAATTGTAAAGTACAATTACAAAAAAAAGAGTACTACAAATATGAACAGTGGAAATACTTTAAAACTTCTTAAAATTTTATTTTGATTAGTAAAAAAACAGTGAACACTAAGTCAGAAATATTCAGCAACCTTCCTTAATAAATGTTTTTCACATTATTACAAAAATAAAGGTGATTTTTAATGGGGCCCTGACTTTTTGTGAGTCAAATTTTTTTGGTCATTAATGCTATAAGAATTAGTAAGAAACGATATAGTCAGAGACACTTGTTCAAACAGATTAAGTCATTACCATAAATAATTTTTTACATATTAAGAATTCACAATAATAAAAATGACAAAATTAAAGAATAACAAGTAATAGCATGATTCAGTCAGAACGAAAGAAAAAAGATTGTCATGTTCCAGGGTCTAAAAAAATTAGTCATTTTTAAAAAGGAATACTGACTTTTAAGTAGAAATTTGAACAAACAAGATTTTTACAAATAAAATCCGTTTTATTTGTTTCAAGGCCTAATCATAAAAGTTTAGTTTCATCTTGATATTTATCTGTGTCCAAGGGTGACACCACCACTGAACAAATAAAAAGCTTAGTTTATAGTTTATATATCTTATGAACTATAAAATAGTCAGGGCTTAGTAAGTTACAAGAATCAGAAACTTCTCTCACTCCCAAGATTCATTTATTTCTTGAGGTGAGAAGAGGCAACGAGGGAAAATTGTTCTTATTGTACCCTTCAAAGATCTAGCAATATAAGAATTTTTGAGATTAGAAAAGCTCATACTCAATTTTCCAAGACCAAAACCAATAAATTGTGTGAATCTTTCTTCCAGCTGGAGTTGTCCCTGCCCTAGCCTCATCATTTTATTCCTGGAGCAAAGCAATTTTCTAGACCCTGTTTGCACATAGAGTCAAGACCAGATGTTGAGAATGATGTTGAAAAGTGACCGGAGAAGTGCAAAGGGATGATTTGGATGACATTGATCAGGTTGATTTCTGTTTATTTAAAAAGCACCACATGGTTTGCTTAAAGTTTATGGGAAAAAAATAACAATGGAATAGTGATGAAATCTTGTGTTACAATTTAAAGAGAGATTAGAGAGATTGGGGGAAGCAGATGATAGTTCTTCTCAACAAGAAAAGCTGAAAGATCACATGCTAAGAATTACCTTACTTGATCTTTTCCAACTCTTCCTCATTAGCATTGTCTGTAAATGAAATAAAGCATTTTCATTATCTTTCCACTCAAGTCAGAATAGGGCAGCCAGCTGTTTTCTAGAGGAAACATTTATTAGCCTTTTAAAAGCAAGTAGTTTCCAGCAACAACTATACAAGACTAAAGTTGTTTTTCACACACACACAAAACTAGAGAAGCAACTTTAACATTCAAACAGCCTTTCTGGTGAGAGTTCACTTGTCTTATTCCTTTTCACAAAGAAATGGGACAGTAATTTTTTAAAAAATGAAACATTGTGATACCTTAATTATTGACTGAAGAAAAACATATTGAGTCTCATGATTTACAATTGCTCCTTTTGGTGGTGAAGGTTGAGGATACATATGTTTCTGTGACCAAAGATAATACAATCTTTTTTTTTTCTCTTCAAATACATTCAGAGTCTTTTGCTTTGATGGCATCTTAAAATTGACTCTGCTTCCAGTTAATCTTTAACTACGTCAGGATCTACAAATGCTTTCAGTTTTTAAAAAATGCTGCATATTGTAATGGTTATTAGTGTATTTCTCTGTTAATTATTTAGACAAAGTATATTCTTTTAAACTAGCTTATGTCATAGTAAGAGATATTCATAGCCAAAAGTTTTAATTAAGGTCTGGATATTTGTAAGTGTGTCCAAGATCATGGGTCTCTTGCATGAAATAAGCCATAAAAGCCTAAAGTTTTTTAATTTCCTCTCTTCCCTTTAAAAAAAATTCTCAGTGAACACAGAAGTATTAGCCTTCCTTATTAGCCTCTTTACTCTTTCTTAGCAGTACCATTACCTTTAAGGTAGATGAAGTAGAGAATAATGAATATAGGAAATGCCTCCTATATTTGTCTATCAAGAAAGTGCACTGGTGTCTCTAAAAACTGTATCTCCTTCAGGAGAATCCACTATAAAGAAGAACCGCTTTAGGAATCACTCATGGATTACAAAAATACTAAAAGAAAAGATTTTAATAGAAGACTAAGGCAATCTTTGACCAAAGCCACAAGAATGGAATTCTATAGAGGAGGGTAGAAAATAAGAAAATCATAAAATTGTCAAAGATAATGATTCATTCTCTCCTTTTTTTTTTTTTTTTTGAGTTGGAGTCTCACTTCATCACTCAGGCTGGAGTGCAGTGGCATATTCACAGTCACCCCAGCTTCAACCTGCTGGACACAGGCGATCCTTCCACCTCAGTCTTCCAAGTAGCTGGAACTACAGGCACATGCCATCATGCCCGGCTAATTTTTTGATTTGTTGTAGAGATGAGGTCTTGCCAAGTTGCCCAGGCTGTTCCCGAACCTGTGGGCTCATGCAGTCCTCCTACCTTGGCCTCCCAAAGTGCTAGGATTACATTGCTTGAGCCACCACACCCGGTAATATTTTGTTTTCTATAGGTAGTGGTCTCCTAGGATATATTTTCTCTATATGCACTCTGTGTTCATTATTGACCAAATTCCCACCACTACACAATTTGTCCATGTAACAAATATGCACGTATAGCTCCTGAATCTAAAGTAAAACAATTTTTAAAATGTTGACCAAAAAATGGAAAAGGAATAGATTTCCTAAGGTTACAGTAATTTCTTCGACCCTTTTTTCTCAAATAGAGCCAAGAAACTGCAAAGTATTGTTATCAAATTCTACTATAGAAATATTTTATGTTTTTGAAGTACTAATGTCCGATTCATTTTGAGGCAACAAATTCCAGCATTGGTTTGTGGAGATGAGCATACAGTGGACATGTAATAAGTGTTTGTTGTTGATGTTTAATGAGTCATTATTATCAGTATCATTATCACCATCATCACTGTCAGCACCATCGCCACCACTACAAACCACTTCCTCCATTATCACCAAAAGGCAATTGGAAACCTAATAGTGGTATGCTATATTCACAAAAACTGTACCAAGTTTTTAAGTGTGAGATAATATTTGCTCAACTTTCTCAGAAAGCAGAGTTTCAATGGCCAAAGAAAGGTAATTCCTAGAGCCAATATTTTTAGTTAAATTAAGTGAGAACAATTAAGATAAATGAATAAAAAAGTAAAATATCTCATGGATATTTATCATCATCATCTAGCACCTAAGAATCTTATAATATAAAATTCCAACCTATAAGAAACGTCATGCGGCTGAGGTGAGTGGATGGCCTGAGCCCGCGGGTTCGAGACCCGCCTGGGCAGCGAGACCTCATCTCTACAATAAATCAAAAAATCAGCCGGGCGTGGTAGTACATGCCTGTAATTCCGGCTACTCGGAAGGCTGAGGCGGAATGATCGCCGGAGCCCAGCGGGTCGAGGCTG